CTCTTTTTTTTTTTTTTTTTTTTGAGACGGAGTCTCGCTCTTGTTACCCAGGCTGGAGTGCAATGGCGTGATCTCGGCTCACCGCAACCTCTGCCTCCTGGGTTCAGGCAATTCTCCTGCCTCAGCCTCCTGAGTAGCTGGGATTACAGGCACGCGCCACCATGCCCAGCTAACTTTTTGTAGTTTTAGTAGAGGCGGGGTTTCACCATGTTGACCAGGATGGTCTCGATCTCTTGACCTCGTGATCCACCCGCCTCGGCCTCCCAAAGTGCTGGGATTACAGGCTTGAGCCACTGTGCCCGGCCCGTTGTCACTCTTCTTAATGACCAGGAGATAATTCAGTAAGCAGAGTTGCTGTCAGGGTCTAATTAGGAATTTCTCCGAGAGGCTGTGGGTGGGACCACTCCCTCTGCAAGCCTCCTGCAGCCTCCCCATCCCTCCTCTTGGGCCCGGCTGCCTGCCTTGGTCTGCAGAGGCTGCACGTTCTCTGTTCTTCTGAGGGGCTCCTGGCCTTTAGGACAGCCTTGGCATGCTTATGTGTAACTCCCAGTGTCTTCTCTTTTTAAGTAAGGAATACACTCATGGAATCCTGATCTTCTAAACTGTTTCATCTTTTAAAAACAGCCATAGCTTTCTAAGCCACTTTGTGCCTGAGGGTGAATCACTTGTTATTTTTCACTGGGAAATGAACAGAACTGGAATCGTAGGATTTAGAGGGTGATGAAAAGATAGAGGTTAGGATATTCCATGTTCTCACCTCTTCCTTACATTTTTTCCTTAAATGCACCTGTCGTATGTCTGTGAAGTTCTTCCCGATTCTGTAACTTCACTCTACCCTCAAGTGGAACATTTGTGAACAGTAAGTAACAATTATTGATGTGTGCAACTCTGCAACCCAGCCGGAATTAACGCTTTTTATTTATCAATGGATGGTCATCGGATGGCCAGAGGGATTCCCTGTGTGTCGTGGGAGCCCAGTGCCTGCTTGTGAGGTTCACAGACATAACGAGGGTTAGGGGATCCAAGCCAGTGTGATTAGAGTAGTAAGTTCGTTTACCCAGCCAGGTGGATGCTTCTTTGAGTTTGGCACGTTCCTGTCTGGCGCAGCACAGCTGACATGGAAGGGGGCAAGGGCGTGCTCCACGGGCTCCCGTGTTTTTACTTTGAGACAGAATCTCACTATGTTGCCCAGGCTGGAGTGCAGTGGCGTGATCTTGGCTCACTGCAACCTCCGCCTCTGGTTCAAGCAATTCTCGTTCCTCAGCCCCCCACAAGTAGCTGGGATTACAGGGATGTGCCACCAGGCCTGGCTGATTTTTGTATTTTTAGTATAGATGGGGTTTTGCCAGGTTGGTCTGGCTGGTCTTAAACTCCTGGCCTCAAGTGATCCACCTGCCTTGGACTCTCAAAGTGTTGGGATTATAGGCATGAGCCACTGTGCCTGGCCCTGTGTTTGATTTTTTTTTTTTTTTTTGAGATGGAGTTTTGTTCTTGTTGCCCAGGCTGGAGTGCAATGGCAAGAACTTGGCTCACTGCATCCTCTGCCTCCCAGGTGCAAGCAATTCTCCTACCTCAGCCTCCTGAGTAGCTGCGATTACAGGCATGCGCCACCATGCCTGGCTAATTTTGTATTTTTGGTAGAGATGAGGTTTCTCCATGTGCAGGCTGGCCTTCAACTCCTGATGTCAGGTGATCCGCCTGACTTGGCTTCCCAAAGTGCTGGGATTACAGGCATGAGCCACTTGTCCGGCCTGTATTTGATTCTTCAATTTTCTTTTTCTTTTTAATATTTCTCTTTCTGGAGGACCACACAGTGGATCTGGAGGAAGAGTTCACAGATGTTTGTATTACGTTGCTTTCTTAAGTTAGCCTCCCTTGAACACTGCTGTAGGGTACAGATAAATGAAGGGCTGAAACGGTGGTCATGTTTCAGTAAGTGTGAGCACGGAGCTGGTCTGTGAGACCCTGATGCCGGTGAGGGTGCCTGCGTGCCATGGCCTGGAATGGCCTGGAATGGGGGTGTGCGGAGCCCTGACTGCGGCACACACTCTTAATCTTTGACATTTCAGGCCGTTGTTCTGATTGTCAGTGAGCAGAAGGTCTAACGTGGGAGTGATATTTATCTCTGGCTGTGCTGGTCAATGAATTAAGAACGTAAACCTGTTTGACCTAAGCTGCTTGGTTGGTTTGCATTTAAATAGCACCTGGTAGCCTGGTGGCTGGACATTTGCTCTGTGACCTGCCCTGTGTGTGTGGCCCCTCCCTCTGGTATGCATCGGACTAGATGGGGGCGTTTAGGGCAGTATGCCGTGGACTGGAATGCGTTAGAAGTGCAAACCTGCCCCACCTTAGACCTGCCCCACCCCAGTGTGACGTTCGGAGGCAGGGTTCCAGCATCCCTTCCCCTGCTCCCGGTGGGTCTGAGGATGCTGAGGATTCAGAGCTCTGCTTTGCTTGCACACCAGCAAGCCCTGCTTGGCGTATTCATGGCTGAAAGAGGCCAGGATCTGAAAGAGCAGGTTACCAATTGTGCAGCAAAAAATGTTTCCTTAGAATGGGTATGGGA